AAGTTCAATCTTTCCAGGGTGCTGACACTGCAGTGGAGATCAATACGGAAACAATTTCCACCATGGGGAACCTGGGCTCTGGTTATTAACAACTAATTATAGCCAGCTTTCTGCAGAATGGGCTGACTTCTCTCCAAGTCTGCCATGCAGCACGACTTGTTGGTAATGTCAGACTCAGTCCGGGAGCTGGTTCCCAGAGCAGCAAATCCAAGGTCAGGATAAAGAAACGTCCAAAGGTCTCTGCTCTGGGGGCCTGCTTCCCAGGTCAGGGCACAGGACGCCCACTGCACTTTTATCAGAATTTTTAATTATCACTATCAACAGCAAGGCGGCGTCTTCCCTGGAGCATCAGCACGGCCATATCAGCTATTAAAACACGGGCAGTCTCCCACTCTGTTCAGAAGCTCAGTAAGGAAATCGCTCAGCAACCACCCTTGGGACCTCTCGGCCCCCTCCCTCCCATGATCCAAGAAGTAGAGGGGTCACAACATCAAGGGGTCTCCAGGACCTGCTTGGCCCTGCCTCAAGCCAGCCTGAGGCTTGTAGGTGGACAAGTATTTTGAGCATGGCCCTGATGACAGACAACAATGGCTGCCTGTGATCAGTCACAAACCCAAATGCTTCCTGCTTGGGTAGTGGGGTGCTGGTTACACATAAATCAAGTCATAAACACAATGCAGTTATGAGTTGTTTATGTACACATGTATATATAGCCATATATGGAAATATATTTCATATTAATTTCCATTAAATATATACACTATCCATAATTATGTACCACAGATAACAATATATACTTATTTACTGTAGATAACTATCAACAGAGATAGATACTTATATATAAAGGTTATACATAATTAAATACAGAGAGTTGTAGACAGTCAACTCTCTACATCTGCAGGTTCAGCATCTAATGACTCAGCCAACTATGAATCAAAAATATTCAGAAAACTGCATCTTGTACAGACCTTTGTTATTATCATTATTCCCCAAATGATACAGTATAACAACTATTTATGTGGCATTTACATTGTATTAGGTGATATAGACAATCTAGAGATGATTTAAGTCTACAGGAAACTGTGTGTTGGTTATATGCAAATACTAAGTCCAATAAAAGACTCACGCATCTGTGGATTTTGGTATCCACAGGAGATTCTGGAACCAATCCCCCATGGATACCAAGGGACAATTGTATAGATAACAATATATGTAGTTAAATATGGCATGTAAATTACCCATTTTCCTACAAACTATATGTTTCAATAAACCTATATCCTGGGTGCATTTCAATAACTCTATACCTGTATCGCTAATACATACACTATCTAGAACTATAGTAAATTGCTGTATATAAACCATAACTACACACACACACACAGTATATTTGGGAGAGCTATCCATGTTAGCATCTATAAATTAATCTCATCTTTTTTAACAATCTCATAGCATTCAATAGAATGGTTTACCATAATTTAGCCACCCCTTACTGATGGATGTTTCTTCACTATTACCTATGATTCTGCAATGAATGTCTTGAACATATATTCTCTCTCTCTCTCTCTCTCTCTCTCTCACCACACACACACACACACACACACACACACACACAAAGCGTTTCTGTAGGGTAGGACATAAACATTCAAGAAGTAGAGCTGTTGGATCAATGTGATGTGTACTTTTAATTGGGGCAGATCTTGACAAACTACTGATGTTTCCTTTCACTCCCAAATGGTGATGGCAAGAGCTCTATTGATCAGGAAGAGCCCCTGCAGCTGTCCCTGGTCCAGCCGAAGCGTCTGCACTGGGCCCATCTGTGTTTAACAAGGGAGTCCACAGGGCTCTGACAGGTCTGCTCTGGCTTATGTTTGCCCACAAAGAGGCTGAGGGAAGCTGCATCACTATTTTGAACCAAGATTATTCCAGATGCCCCAAAGTTTGCAGCCTGCTGAGCTCCCTGAGAACAACAAACAGCAAACTTCCCTGCAGAATCTGGTAGTCGAAGTTGGGTCATCAACTGTCACCCAGGTCCCAAAACCATTCTGCTTGTCTCCAAAGGGCTAACGAGTCCCTCAGAGAGTTCTGCCAACCTGTGGCTGCCATGCATCCTAGGATGTCACCAACCTCCCATGAAAGACAGCTGCCAATCTCTAGTCCTTGATCATTGCTCCACAAACTCAGTGCACTGGGCTAGACTGAAAACAGAGGCCATCTTCCGTCTTCCAGCCTTCCATCCTAAAGCTCCAGGACATGAAAGCAGGCAGAGGAGAAGGAAGTTCTGTCCACAGGAAAAGCAGCTCGATCCCCAGCTCAGTCAGCCAAATATCCCATGACACACACATTCTTACTCAAACCACAGAGGACTTGAGGCGGCTTCCAAGAATGCACACAATAAAATCGGAAAATGTAATTAAAAGACAAAGCCAGGGAAAACACACGGGAGATAGGAAATGAAGACCAAGAGGAAATGCTACTACACAGATGTAAAGCACTCAGTTCTGCACAATTTTTAGGCATCTGGATCCCAGTTGAGCTTTAAGTTCCCTGGTGGCCAGAGCAAAAACAGAATAATCATGAAGAGGAAAATGGGAAATAAAGAATGCATGACCCTCAGTTTCCCAGACAAGTTGTTTCTCCCTTGAAAGGAGTTCCCACACAGGGAATCCAGCCAGGGCAGCAAGACCCCTCCACGCTGCCTTGCTGCCCCCACCCCCCGGACCAACTTCTACTCTGCTCATTTACCCCTCATCTTCCCTTCAAGGGTGCTTCCAAACCAGACAAAACCCACACATCCCTCTGAGGCTCCTGATCATCTCTCTGCTTCGTGTTTTTGTTTTACTAAACTGACAACAGTTAAACATTAGGAAATTGCGGGCAGGTATTTGGCCTACTGGTTAAGGCACCTGTTAAGATGCCCCATTCCACACTGGAGTGCCTGGGTTTGATTCCTGGTTCTGGCTCCAGATTTCAGTTTCTGGCTAACGTGCACCCTGGTAGTGGCAGATGATGCCCCAAGTACTTGGCTCCCTGCTACCCATACTGGAACACCTGGATTCAGCCCCGGCTCCTGGTTTTGTCCTGGCCCAGCCGCAGCCACTGCATTTGGGGAGTAACCTAGAAGATGAGACCTCTCACTCTTTCAGGCTTTCAAGTAAATAATTTTTTAAAATTAGGAAATTTCACATAAAAAAGATTTCTCACATTTCAAAAAAATCAGTCCAAAAAGAAGTCAGGCACACAGTCTCCCTGCAGTTGGAGCTGGCTAGCAGTCTCCTCTTTAATGAGGAAAAGAGGCCTCCAGTTCACCCTCTTCTCCCATGCCACACATCCATCCCACCACATCACGCCTGCAAACCCGAGTTTGGTCAACAAACACGTAAAACCTTTTTTATTATTATTTTATACTTTTTTGAAGATTTATTTATTTACTTGAGAGGCAGAGTTACAGGCAGAGAAAGGGAAAGACAGAGAGAAACGTCTTCCACCCACTGATTCACTCCCCAAATGACCACAATGGCTGGAGCTGGGACAATCTGAAGCCAGGAGCCTGGAGCTTCCTGTGGGTCCAAGGATTTAGGCCATCTTCCCCTGCTTTCCCAGGCCATAGCAGAGAGCTGATTGGAAGTGGAGCAGCCGGAACTCGAACTGGCAACCACGTGGGATGCTGGCACTGCAGGCGTGAGCTTTACCCGCTATCCCACAGCGCCGGCCCCTTGTTATTATTTTTCTAAAACAGAGGCAAGGCAAATGGAATAAGCAAGGTGGCACAGAAGACCTGAATTCAGACCTGTGACTTCACCGTCCCTCCATTCTCTGGGTCCATAAGATGAGGAATCAGACAGCAATGACAAACTCTGTCTCTGACATCATTCTGTTTTCTGACAGAGGTCCCATTTTTCAGGGTAGGGGAATTTGTTGACAGCCACAAACCATGCCAAGTTTGACTACCGGGTCAGGAGAGGGGCTCTCCTACGTGCCACCATTTCACTTTGTTTTCTAGTTGTCTCCCCACCCACCCAGCTCCCCTGCTTCCCTACCTTGCTTCTCCACCCACCCCAGCCAGTCACTTCCCCCGGTTTCGCCAGCTCACCAGGCTGATGCAGCTGCAGAGGCTTAGAGGCAGGAGATGACCCTTGCACCCAGAAACAAAAACAAAACAATGACTGCTCCCCCAACAACAAGGCAGAACAATTTCTTCCTTTCCTCAAATTGCACAAAAGCAGTAGCCTGTTGGCCAGAGAGGCAAGATCCAGCCTCAGGTGTGTCCTGGAAGCTGAGCCTTGAGCGCCATCTAGGAGCAATGGGCAGTACTGCAGGCTCCCGGTCCCCTCCAGGATCTCCTGGCCAATGGCCCTGGCTTGAAAGGTCCCTATGCCCTTGGAGGCCATGTGCTGCAGAGGCCAGTCTGGGGCTTTACTGTCATACCCTGCCACTTCACTAGCTGTGGGAGCTCGGGCAAATCGTTTCCTTATCTGCAAACTGGGTGACTGGAGGATTAAATAAGAGTAACGACATAATCTGGCTTATAACACACAGCCAATAAACTTTTATTCCCTTCTTTCATCCGCACCATAAATTGACTCATCCACAGACAAGTAGCTCTGGGGGGCGAAGGGAGTTGGTTGGGCTCCTCTGTAAAGTAGGCCTGGGAACCTCAGAGGTTATGGTGAACAGATGCAATGCACTCCATATACACCCTACCTGGCACACAGGGAGTGTTCACCTGAGGATAAGGGGCGGGGAAGGAAACCGGCCCTGTCAGAGGCTCCGAGGTTCACAGGCATGAATATAAACAAGAGTCTTAGCAAGGAAGCCGAGTGTAAGTGAGAACACAAGGTAATACATGAGACATGAACAGGTGCGTGTCAATGGAACCCCCCAGGCTGTATCACTTACCCTGCCACGTCCCTCCACACAAAGCCTTTCAGTGAAGGACTGTACCCTGCCTCCTCCAATCTACTGACAAGTCAAATGAGGCTCAGCAAGATAAGAGGATGTACCTGGGTTTACAATGCTCAAGACCCCACTCCTCTGCACATCTGCCCCATCTTCTTTCTTCCCAAAATGGCCTTCCCATTTCTGCCACTGAAATAGAACAAATGCAAAAATCTCACTCTTCCTTCCCCTGCCTCACTTCCTATACTTCATCAGTCTGATGTCCACTGTGTTCTAACCTCCCATGGCTCTCCCATCCCATCCTCTGCATTCTCACCCTCCTCCCCCAGGTCAGAGCCCCCTTTAACCCCCTGGATGCCTTCAGAGGCCTCCTACCCAGGCTCTCTGCCTTCCAGCTCTCCTCCCTCCAATCCATCCTTCCTGCTGGGGCCTCCAAGGAGCTCTCCCTTCCTGCTAGTCCAAATGCAAGTCTGACCCTTCTGAGATACATACCTACAATGCCTGCAAGAACCTCTGCTTTCCCTGAACAGAGGTAGGATTCACACTTGTGCCTGCACATCAGAATAATCTGAGGAGGCTTTACACTACCCTGTTTGACAATAAGCACAGAAAAGGTGCTCGATATCTTAGCCATCAGAGAAATGCCAGTGCAAATCAGAGTGAGCTACCCCTTCCCACCCACCAGGATGGCTACAACAGCAAGCACTGGTTCACATATGGAGAAAATTGGAAGCCTCCTCTACTAGTGGTGATTTAAAATGGCACAGTCACTCTGGAAAATAAAGCTGGCCAGTTTTCAAAAATTTACGGCATAGAGTTGCCATGTGATCCAGCAATTCCACTCCTTGGTGTAGCACAGTACTTCAAAAAGTTCATGGAGGGGCCAGCATGGTGGCACAGTTTAATCCTCTGCCTGCGGCACTGGCATCCCATATGGGCACCAGTTCAAGCCCAGCTGCTCCACTTTGATCCAGCTCTCTGCTACAGCCTGGGAAAGCAGTAGAAGATTACCCAAGTCCTTGGGCTCCTGCACCCACGTGGGAGCCCTGGAAGAAGCTCTTGGTTCCTGACTTCCTATTGGCTCAGCTCTGGCCTTTGCAGCCAACTGGGGAGTGAACCAGCGTATGGAAGACCTCTCTCTGCCTCTGCCTCTCTATAACTTTGCCTTTCAAATAAATAAATAAATCTTTTTTAAAAAATGTTTGTTTTGGTACAAAAGAAATTTTTGAAATCTATGCAGTTTTTTCATCATATGCAATCTCCATGAACTTTTTGAAGGTCCCGCATGTATCCAAGAGAATGGAAAACAGATGTCCACATAACACTTAGGCACAAATGTTTATAAAATCATTAATAATATCCAAAAAGTAGAAATAGCCCCATGCCCCCCGACCGATGAACAGAGAAACCAAGTGGGTCTCCCCATGCAGTGGCACGCTGAGCTGCAAGGACCAAGCAAGGATACTCGCTGCAGCACACACAGACCAGTAACCACTGGGATCGGCGAAGGTGCCAGTCCCAGAGAACCACATACTGCATGTGGTTCCACTGTGTACATGGAACTCCAGAGCAGGCAGAAAGTGAATCAGTGACAGCCCTAGGCTGGGGGAGGTAGAGGACATGAGATCCTGGAGGAGACACAGGGTTTCTTCTCAGACTGGTGAAACGGTCCGTTGTGGTGATGGTGCCACAAGTCTATGAACACTAAGGACCACTGCACTGTGCAGTTTAAATGGGTGAATTATATATTTGAATAAGACTGTTTAAAAAAATCCTCATCTCCATCATTTCCCTATGTTGTATATAACTTCATATGTGACTTCCTATTAATGTTTGCTTACTGTCTACCACAATAAAGGTAATCTTTTTTTTCTTTTGAGAGCAGTAAAATAAGAGTCGGTACAAATAAAATTAAAAAATACTGTTCCTAGGGTTCTACCCACTAAGATTCAGACACAGTTAATCTGAAGGAGGACCTGACAGATCATGGCTTAATATTTTCAGCTGATTCCATCCCACAGGCCAAGGCTGGGAGCCCCATCCCTAGGGTCTCTGTTGGCGATATCTCAGTAGCCCCCTCCCTCCAGCTTCTACTGATGTTCTAAAGTCAAGACAAATTGCCCAGTTCAGTAACTCAACTGAGAACAGAGTCTTTAGCATCAAAATCATCAAAGATGCCTCTTAAAATTCATATTCCTAGTCCTCATTCAAGATATCTAGGATTCCAATCCCTGAAGAGGGGCCCAGGAATCTGCACATCTAACAAGTGCCCTTTCTCAGACATGCTGCAGGTGGGAGAGATGGATACCTACAGAATCAAATTCATCCAAGTCCCTTGAGGGCTTAGCTCCACCACATCTCCAATTCTCTCATCATCTCTGCCCTGCCCTCTGAGGCTCCACCTATACCTGCTGCTCCAGGTAACAGAAATGCCTCTCCCTGCTCCTTCACTTGGCGCCTGTCACCAGCCTCTAAGCCTCTACTCAAGGTCAACTCCTCCAGCAAAGTGTCCCTGGGTTGGGTGACTTATCTGGGCTCCCAAGACTCCTACAAGTATACTTGCTATTGCCCAGATGGTTCCTATCTAGGGCTATGGTGCTCCCCAAGGGACACTGGTGATTCCAGACATATTTCTAATTATCACAAGAGAGGGAGGTGCTATTGTCTTCTGGAAGGTACAGTCCTGGAATGCTGCTAAATGTCCTACAATGCACAGGAAAGTCCCCCTCCTCTAAGGAACTATCTGACCCCAAATGTCAATAGTGCTGACACTGAGAAGCCCTGCTACAGCTTATTGTCATGGGAGTTTTTTCAGGGGAAAAAATGTGTAAGAGTCATCCACTGTAACTTCAGCACCAGGTACAGAGCCTGGCACATGGCAGGTGTTCAGTAAGTATTATAGAATGAATTATCCATAACTTTCCTCTTGACATTTAGGTGTGTTCATGTATACCTCACCTCACCCCATAAAGGATTTTTAATAGCTAACAAAAACCTACGAAACACAACAGGATCAAATACATGAGAGTGTCTTAGAAGAAGGAAATGAGATGAAGCCATGGTAGGTTGGGGTCAGGTAATTATCAGGAACGGTGATTACAGTAGTAAGGTTGAGATGCGCTGAGGTTTGGCTCTAGGCTTCCAGTTGGCCAAAGCAAAGAGGGAAGCAAGAGACTCATGGTACCCAGGCAATAAAAACTCATTAGTTGCTCAAGGTCATTTAAGAAGTGAACCAGCAGATAGAAGATGTTGAGGCAGCAGAGGACTGGGGAGTGAAGCAGACCATACTCTTAACAGCATCAAAACACATCAGTCTTTTGTAAATATCTCTTATAACTTCTGATGATCTCTTCTTGCCTCCCTAAACTCACTCATTTTGCCAGGTAGGTTGATAGGTTTTTCCCATGCCTTGAGTATGGGCTTTGCCATGTGAATCCTTTAGTCAATAGGATGAAGACAGATGTGATGCAGCCAGACTTGACTTCTTGCATCTCTTTCATCACCCTGAGAAGAATATGCCTCAGCTGTACCCCTGGACCAACAAGAGTGAGAGACAAAAGTGTCAAGCTGACTCAACCCACAAACCCGCAGCCTACAAGAGAACCAACCTGCTGAGCCAAGTCTAGCTCAACCAACCCCTCCTCCCCTCACTGAGTTGAAATCACATGAGACAAGGACAGCTGAGTCCAGCAGAGAAAGCCTGGCCGGCCATCTTCATAGATGTGTGAGCTAAATCTACAATCATTATTGCATTCCACAGAATTTGAGGATTGTCATGAGGCATATTCCAGCTCCAACTAACCAAAACACCTCCAGCTGCACAGTTAGAGATAATACCAAATCATGGCTAAGTAAATGCAATCTTTTGTGGGGCAAACGTAGAGGGAACTGCTCCATGATACTTAAGTATGTTCCTCCAACTAGGAAATAACTCCTTGATGACTGGATATATACCCTGCTAAGTGACCACCAAAGAACTGGATACTTAAGCATACTTGATGCAAATGTGTGAGTCAGCACTTGATTGGAAGCATAACCCACATTTCAAACATGATGCCAGAATAAACTAAAGTCAGAATGTTCACAAAACTGGGTAATTGATGTATTTACTGTGGACAATTCACAGACTCGAGTGCTCCAATTGGTCTCCATTGTATCAAATCTGCCAGAGACCTTGAAGCAGGTGATTGTCGCTCCCCCTCTTCGTGGAGGAGCAACACAGGACCCTGCGCTGTTCTTTCTGTCTGCTCGGCCCTCCCCGGGTTTGCTGCTGGTTCTTCCCGGGTTGGCTACTATCCCTTCCACCTCCGTGGAAGGGCAGTTCCCCCTGGCCGCATTCCCCACTTCCGCAGGGAAGCGGCACACCGCCAGCCGGCTCTCTCGGGGGGCTGCACAGGTGTTCCCCTTAGATGTTCCTCTTAGATGTTCCCCGGTGCATGCCGTCTCTCTCCTCCTTTATAGTCCTCCTCTGCCAATCCCAACTCAGCTGCCCACACGCCGAGTACGCTGCTCTCCTCCAATCAGTAGCAAGTCCTACAGTTTATTGGTTGAACTGGAGGCAGCTGTGCGGAAGCTGTTTACTTCTCTCCCAGCGCCATATTGTGGGAGAGCAGATGCATAGAATAAGTCTTAATTCCAGTAACTCAGTCCAGTCCGGTTTGCTCCCCACAGTGATTGAGGTAAACTTTCCAGACTGAGCTTCTAAGTGGTGTCACCCTACCCTGGGTGGTTGCGTTCCTCCTGGTCATCTCAGACTACTCTGGAATGAGTACAAAAACCCTTTTAATCTCTCGTGCCTGCAGAAGGCTCTACTTCTAATTCAGATACCTTCCTTTGTTTCCCTCCATTAGATTACAGGCCTGGGACCTTAGCTTGTCTTCTTAGAAATTATAAGGCCCCCTCCTACCCCGCCTATATACACAGTCTCAATTCCACATGCAACTGTAGAGTCCTGGATCACTTATGTGCTATGTGGCCTTGGGAAGGCACTTAACCTTTCTGATCCTCAGCTGTCTTACCTATATAACAGACACAATAACATTTATCTACTTCATGGTGATTGTTAGGGTTGAGAAAGGCAAGATATCTAAAGTGCTTAACACAGCTCCTGACTTGTGACAGTGTTTAATGAATGTGAGCTGTGATCATTTGGCTTTGAGTTGACAGAACAGACTGGTCATGGAGGAGCT